GTATCCCCACACTCCAGATTCGAACGGTTGCATAATGCAGAACTTTGTCAAAAAAATGCAAAAAAAAATCACAGCCGTTTTCAGGTTGGTTTTTGCGGTTACTACGCAGCGCGGCCATGCGGTCACGCGTCAACTGGCTTTTTTCTGAAGCAATGACTCAGCCAGTAGATGCGTCTTCGCAGCGCGCTGTAAGCAGCTCAGGTTGAAAAGCCGAACTGCCCACCGCAAACTTCTCGATGTAGAAGCCGGCTTCGCCCGTCACGTAGGTCAAGATGTGGTTTGTAAGAGGTGAAAAAACCGCCATGTTCGATCGTCTCTCGAAGCTGTTCTTGCCTTTTTTTGCAATGACCCAGCAAACAGCCCACACGTCGTTGTTCTTGTGGTGTCCCAGCTGCCTGGTCTGGCGCCAATTTGAGTTGCCAGGTCTTTGTGCGATGGCACCCCAAGCGGCAAACGAAACCCGATGCGCCTTGAGGATCTGCCGGTAGAGCTTGTGATTGAACTTCTTGCACTCTGCTTCTTTGGGCACGCCCTTGGCTCGCTCCTTGTTCTCCTTGCCGGTGAATACATCTTAGGAGCAAGGCCGACTCACTCAACCGTAATGAGGAGCCAACTCATCCGCAAAGTTCCCGAGTTCACCAGTGTGCTGGAGGATGGCGTCATCACCATCGCCGGCCACGTGGAAGAAAGGCCCGACCAAGTTGGCGTCGGCCAAGGCAATCTTCGGGTCCTGCTCGCTGAAGATCTGCAGGACGCTGCTGTCCGTGTCGCCGCCCAGCCACCTCACCCGGCTTTGTTCAGGCCTCAGGCTTTGGCTTCCCTCCACCGCATCGGTGCTCATCATGAGATGACTGTCAAAGACGCGGCGCATCTTACAATGTGCCTTGAGCATGAGCAGGCGCGACTCTTCCAGAACCTTCCACCCACCCTGGAGGAAAGACTTCAGCACGTTGGCTTTGCCAGCCTTCTTAACGTCCACGAAGGCCATGAACGCGTGCTCTTCCATGACCTGTGGATGAACGTCAAGCATGTCCGGGCCAGCAGCCTTCTTCCGTCCGTGTGGACGACGGTCGAGCGGAAGTTTTCTTGGTTTTGAACCATCTTTCCGTATTGCACGTTGGCCGTGAGCTTCTGAACCTCTGCCTGGAGCTTTCGCCCGGCTTTCTTGAGCTCGCACCTGGTCCGAGTCGTGTCAAGAATGAACTCTTTCATGAAGGCCTTGCGCTTGAACATGACCAAGCTGTGAAACTCGAACACCCGGACCCCCAGGTTCTCCATGATGAACTTGAGGTAGCGAAGATCAACAGCTTCTTTTTTCATGAAATCCTAAATAAGAAGCTTCCGACACCATCTGATCGGCCTGGACGAGCGAACGAGTGTAGAGGCTGAGCTGCGACCTCTTGACCGGCATCTTACACACTGGAGCCCAGTCGACGGCAGAATGCCTGAACCAGGGAACGTCGTACAGCAGCTGGCCTCGACCATGTAGCAAACCTCCTCGTCGTCCCGCTCATAGTCGACCACGTCGAAGAGGGCATTCAGACGCTTCAGCCGGTCCTTCTTGTTTTTGGGCAAGTCCACCCACTCACCGCCGTCTGTGGGCAACGGCTTTGCCATTATGGATGGATACATGCTCACGATGTCGTTGAAGAGGATCCATGACGTCTCGAGGCGAGGGTCGAAGCCAGGAATCATGGGGTTGTTGGCCTTTGCAAACGGCTGAGCGACGTGACCCAGTCCGCCACGGATGTTGCGCTTGGTGAGCTCGTAAATTGTAAATTCGTCGGTCTGTAATCAATCCAAGCCTCCGTTCTATGCGCGGGCAAGTCAGTCAAAGCATTGCGTCGTGGCTTGCAGACGTGTGCGTCACATACTGGCAAGGATCGAGTTGAAAGTGTCGCCAGAAGGCATCGCGATAATGCTCCAGCACATCACCCAACGCCAGGTCGGTACACAGGTAGGCGTTATGAAAGTCCTCAAGAGAAGTTGTGATGGACAGACGTGGTCGCGCACAGTTGCTCCAGTCAACGAGAAATGAGACGTCTTGCATCGTTGCCGTTGCCGCTTTTTGCAATTGTGTTTGACGGTAGCTTCGTAGGTCTTTTGAAGCCTCACTTCCCCAAGCCTCCCATACTCCTCAACTTTGTTCTCCCAGGTCTTCTTCATCGACTTCTTCGACTTCGCCGCGGCCTCTGAGTGAAAAAAGCGTTTGAGTGCTGATAGGTTCAGTTAGTTCAGTTTGTCAGTAGGTCGTGCCGGCGTTGAGCAGTAATCCGTAGAGGCCCCGTTGCCAAACAGTAACGCCCCCCTGCAGTGCCCCCAATGCATTCTGCCCGATCAGGCTCGGCCCTTCAACATCTTCGGGGATCGCTTGAAACTCAGAGTGCCAGCTGTGCCAGCAATAGGTCCCGCGTTAGGATCGTGGCGCTGCGTAGGTGTCCGCTGAACTTCTGTTTTTGCAGTTGCAATGCCTCCCTCTCTCCCGACCAAGCCTTCCCATAAAGCCCCTCCCTGCCCAGGTCCTTCATCCACGACGCGGTGCCAGGTCCTCTGAGTGAAGCCGTGTTTACATTGGTCGTGGCGTGCTTGCGCTGGTAGGATTTGGTAGGACTAGATCTGTAGAGCGGACGCTGAGTAGCGACCCTTCACGTGTGACCTATGGCCTCACTCGTTTCGCCCAGGTTTTCTTCGACTACTTCCGTATCTCCGTTGCCGGGACCTCAGAGCGAAACCTAGTGTTGACTCAAGACTTGAAGCAGTGTTGGACTAGCGATTGTTAATTGCGCGCCACCTCATTCAACTTTTCAGTTGAAACCTGCATCACCATGCAGGTCTTTGCTCCGTCAGCATCACCATTTTCGTGGCTGGGGCCTCTGAGTGAAAGCAAGATCATGCTCCCAGTACCCTGTTTACCCCAATCCTGGCTGACAGGTTACCCCCGATCCTGGCTGACATGTTCGGTTGTTTCCGTTCCCATACCCCGCCCTATTCACGCTTTTTTCCTTTCCCGCACTGGTCCTGATCATCATCTTCAGTGGACTTAGCCGTGATCTCTGAATGTTTGCATGCTGGGTTGACGAGGGTGTGTGTAGGACGTTTTGACTTGTTGAAGTCTTGCTCGGTATGGAGAAAATCTGTTCCCGTTTGCGTTTCCTGCTCAGGTTCAGGTCCTGAACATCATCCCGCTCAAATTTTGGTCGCGGCCTTTTTACCCCAATCCTGGCTGACAGGTTACCCCAATCCTGGCTGACATGTTCGGTTGTTTCCGTTCCCATACCCCGCCCTATTCACGGCTTTTTCCTTTCCCGCTCAGGTCCTGATCATCATCTTCAGTGGACTTAGCCGTGATCTCTGAATGTTTGCATGCTGGGTTAGGAACTTGGCTCTCAGTGACCATTGGGAGTTAGATATGGAGGTTGCCCGAGTTGTGCTTGTGATTTCTTTGGCTTCCGCGAGGATGCCAGGGCTTGTGGCTGCCAGAGCCTATGATGAGAC